AAAAGATCTGGCAGTTGTGGTAGTTTACAACCACAGCATGAGTCAGCAATGTGATGCTGTTACCAAAAAAGCAATGCAATTTTAGGTTGCATTAACAGAGGTATAGCATGGACATCACGGGAGGTGTTAGTACTCCTCTGTTCAGCACTGGTTAGGCCTCAACTAGCGTACTCTGTCCAATTTTGATCACCAATGTACAAGAAGGATCTAGAAAAACTGAAAAGGATCCAGAGGCAAGCAACAAAGATGATCAAAGGGCTAGACTGCAAGCCATGTGAGAAAAGGCTGAAAGAACTGGATATGTTTAATCTGGAAAAGATTAAGGGGAGCATGATAGTGGTCTTCAAATACTTGAAAGGCTGCCCTAATAAAGATGGAGGAAAGTTATTTTCTCTTGTCACAGTGGGTAGGACAAGAGGTTCAAAACACAGCATAGCAGATTTGTATTAATTCTCAGGAAAAAACTTCCTAACTGCAAGAAAAGAATAGATCGCCTAGGGAGGTCATGGAAACTCCTTCATTGGAGGTTTTCATAAAAGGGCTAGATGACAGTCTGTCCTGGATAGTTTAGACTCAATAAATCATATATCTCTAGTGGATCCTGGCAGTCCCTCCTAACACTGTGAGTCTGAGACTTCATTGATGCTCCATCAAATGAAAATACCTGCAGGATGTTAACCAAGTACAGGTGCTGCAGCAGTGCTAGAAGAGGAAGTGGCTTTTTTGCAAGGAGACTGATTGCTGACTACCTCAGGCAGCAGGCAATGCTCTACTCCCCAGCCTACTTCCCTACCCAAAGAGTTGAAGAGCCAACATGCCATACTGGCAACAGGAGATGAGGAGCAGACCTCAATGGCTGAGGACAAGGAGTCATTCACCTCCCAAAGCTAGGAGGTTATTACCCACTGCACTTGAGAGGAGCAGATGTTGGTGCTGGTGGTCAGAGACTAACTTATGAAGGGAAGAGGAAAGAGCACGATGAAGCAATTTTGGAACCATTAATGATTATCTCAGAATTCCTGAAGGATGATGGGTGAGGTCCCAGAAGACTGGAAAAGGCAAAACATAATACAGTCACTATATTTAAGGGGGAAAAAGAGGACCCAGATAATTATAAACCAAATAGCCTAACTTTTGATACCTGGATAGTGGTTCAAATTATAAACAATCAGTTTGTAATCACCTGGAGGATGATAGGATTATAATGAATATCCACAATAGATTTCAGAGGAAAAATCATGCCAAAGCAACCTAACATACTTCTTTGACAGGGTTACTGGACTAATGGATAAGGTGGAAGTAGTTTCCTTGAGTTTAGAAAGGAATTAACGTGACATTCTCATAAGCAAAAGAGAGAAATGTGGTCTAGAGTAAATTACTATGAAAGTGGGTGCACAACTTCTCAAACAGTGGAGACTGTGCTTATAAAATTTGCAGATGACACTAAGGTGGGTGGGGTTGCAAACATTTTGGAGGACAGTAGTAGAATTTAAAGACAAATTGGAGGATTGGTCTGGATTCAACAAGATGAAATTCAATAATGGTAAGAACAAAGTAGTTCACTTAGGAAGGAAAAATCAAACATACAAACACAAAATGGGAAATAACTGGCTAGGAGGTAGTACTGTGAAAAGAATCTCAGAGTTATAGTGGGTCACAAATTGAATCTGAGTTAACAATTTGATTCAATTGCAAAACAGGCTAATATCTTTCTGCACCGTATTAACAGGAGTGTTATTTGTAAGACATGGAGATATTTGCCCCATCCTACTCAGCACTAGGAAGGCCTGAGCTACAAGTAATGTTTTCAGTTCTAAGCTTCATACTTTAGGAAAGATGTAGACAAGTTGGAGAATCCAGAAGAAAGCAACAAACATGATTGGAAAACCTGAACTATGAGGAAAGTTTTAAAAAATGGGCATGCTTAGTCTTGATAAAAGAAGACTGAGTTGGGGCCTGATGATAGTCTTCAAATACATTAACACCTGTTATAAAGAAGATAGTGATCAATCATTCTGCATTTCCAATGATGGTGTGACAGGAACAACTTGCTTAACCTGGAGCAAGGGAGATTTAGGTTAGAAATTAGGGAGGAAACTTTCTAAGCATGAGGGTAGTTAAACTCTGGAATAAGCTTCCAAGGGAGGTTGTACAATCCCCAGTATTGGAGACTATTAAGAATGAACATATTCCTGTCAGGGATGGTAAATCCCACGTCAGTGAAAAGAACGCCATGAAAAAGAAGAAGGAGGCAGTCAATGAATCATAGAACTGAAAGGAAACTTGGGAGATCATCAAGTTCAGTCCCCTGCACTCATGGCAGGACCAAGCACCATCTAGAATTACTTGGTCCTCCTCAGTCCAGAGGGCTGTACTTAATGACTTTTTGAGGTCCTTTCTAGCCCTGTTTTTCTGTAATTATATGACTACCAATGCAATAGTTTGACTGCCTAGTTTTTAACATCTCACACTGCCATATTCATATTTGCCACTTCATTCTTGGTTATTGGACACACTGCTGATATTGGGTTAGCATAGTCAGCAGTTATGCTGCCTTCTTTTGTTACTCTAGTGCTTTCTAAGACTGAAAAATCTAATTATTTCAGCTCTAAAAATGATTCAACATCTATTGGCTTTTGATACTCTTCGCTGGTAGTCCAAACTAAAGCACTGTGTGAGACTTGGTGGCTTGTACTCAGAAAGGTTGGTAATGTAATATGGAATATTTTACATGCAAGTCACCAGGTCAAATAAGGCAGATATCATTAGTGGTTGACAGTTATTACTGTAAGACAACTGATCAGAGGCAGTTAGGTAGTGGGTTGGTGTTCATAATCCAATTACTACTGGACTAATATTCATATATAAATCCAATGCCACTTTTACAAGCAACAGGGAGTCTTGCTCAAAGGTTATCCATGGGTTGAATAGGCACAGAGACTGAAAGGTCTAACCCCATAGAATTGGTTCTTCTACAGTAGAGTTTAAAAGTGGCTCATTATAGGGAAGCTTGAACAGCTGTAATTTTGTTCAGTACCTTTCCTGTGAATTTAAAACATTGGTGGTCTTGGATAGCAATCTGAGATTTTCAAAAACTCCTAGATTTAAAAGAAAAAGAATTATTTTAAAAGAATAAAGCTTTGTGGAAGATTTTAATTATTTTAGAAATTTACATAACTCTTTACTATGTGGTAATGTGAAACCCCAAGATGTCTTTACAGAACAGTACAAATAAAACACATGCACTGAGGAGCAGTGACTGCTGAATTCTGTTCTGTAGTATGAAATAAACATAGATGTTTACATCTACAGAACCAGTAACCATCTGATAAAAATAAAAAAATGCATAAATCTCAGGTTTCGCATAGCTCACTGTGCAGTTTGCTCCTGATCATTTGATGAGTTGGATGCAACAATTACAATAACCAGTCTCTTTCTAGAGAAGTAGCTCAACAACTTAGAACATGCAGGAATACTGCCAACTGATGAGATCTTAAAAAAGTTCATGCCCAGTACACTTGCCTCTCCTGAACTTCCAATGACTCTACCATACAAAGCTTTGGACCACATGGTTGGAAAAACAATTACTGAACACAGTTTTTCTTAATATTACTCTTTTAAAGCCTCACAGTTATGTTAGTTTAACATATGACATGATCACTGCAAATGCATCTAAGAAAATATATCTTAATTATTCCATCATAGTACTTTTCTGAGCCAGAGAACTTACTCAATAACAAACATTGCTTAACCTTACTTTTTAAAAGCAAATGAAACCCAATGTTGTAATTGTGCCATTTTAATGAATATAGAAGTCTGAATTGTACTGACACTGAAACACAAATGAAGCCGCTGATTACTATAATCATGGCAATGATTGCAAGACAGAAACTTCAGTTACAAGTGAGCATTGCAAGAAATGCACCCACTGGAACTTTCTCTTGTGCCACTAGGTTTTTCATAAGAAAAGAGTATAGTCTTTGAAGTAGAACAAAGAGCCCAAAAGGTTACATAGATCTACACTGTTTTAAAATGTGTTACCTTAAAAACCTGAAGATCCTGAGAAATCTGAGCTGCAGGACTTGCCAGTTTGTGAGAGATGTCACAACTGCCATGAACAAGGCATAGAGTATATATTCTAAGTCCTTCATTCCCTTTGTTTAGAGCAATTGTCTATACAGAAACCAGAAAATCTGCAGTTCATATTTCTCAGTTCATATGAAGGATGAATTCAAACTGTAACAGGTACAAAGAAGGGCCACTAGGTTGACCCGAGGAATGGAAAACCTGTCTTATGAAAGGAGACTCAGGGAGCTTGGCTTGTTTACCTTAACCAAAAGAAGACTGAGGCAAGATATGATTGCTCTCTTTAAATATATTAGAGGGATAAATACCAGGGAGGGAGAAGAATTATTTAAGCTTAATACCAATGTGGACACAAGAACAAATGGATATAAGCTGGCTAGTAAGAAGTTTAGATTTGAAATTAGATGAAGGTTTCTAACCATTAGAGGAGTGAAGTTCTGGAACAGCCTTCCAAGGGAAGTAGTGGGGGCAAAAGACCTATCTGGCTTCAAGATTAAGCTATGGGTTTATGAAGGGGATGGTTTGATGAGATTACATGATCTTGGTAACTAATTGACCTTTCATTATCAGTGGTAAATAGGCCAATGGAGGAATGATAGGAGTTACTATAGAGAACTTTTCCTGGGTGTCTGGCTGGTGGGTCTTGCCCACATACTCAGGTTTCAGCTGATAGCCATATTTGGGGTCCGGAAGGAATTTTCCTCCAGGATAGATTGGCAGAGGCCCTGGAGGTTTTTTGCCTGCCTCTATAGCATGGGGCACAGATCATAGGTGGAGGATTCTCTGTATCTTGGGGTCTTTAAACTAGTTGAAGGCTTCAATATCTGAGATATAGGTGAGAAGATTATTCCAGGAGAGAGTGGGTGAGATTCTGTGGCCTGCACTGTGCAGGGGGTCAGACTAGATGATTATTATGGTCCCTTCTGACCTTAAAGTCTATGAGTTGTTTGATTAACTATAGATGCTAATTACGGACAAAATCTGTATTCCAGTGCACGGCCAGAGCAGTCAGATAATTTGCTGGTGACAGTCCATGGGATTTGGAATATTCCATACTGCAGGATGCAAGGCAAAAGGGGAATGGCTATAATAGTCTTCTCCCTGTCCTAGCACTTCAGGTTGAGGGTGGGAGTAAGAGGAGTCCATAATAAACCCTTCCCCAAGATTCCTTTTTCACTCCCTGATATGTGCACAATGCTGCAAAGCACTGTAGACACCTTCAACAAGTTTATGTAGTCTGTGGTCCCTCTCCCTGGCTCAGCAGAACTAATCAGATGTGTTGTGGACAAGCCAAAACAGTACGCATAGGATGCAGTAGTTGCATTCTGAAAGCACTGCAATATTTCCCCCCTAGTTTTGGAAACCTATAAAACAAATTTTAAAAGTCAAGAAAACTGTGAACTTGGCTGTTTATAGGCTTTTGGTTCTATATCTGTTTTTTACTGAACCATATCTTTAGGCATGCCATCCACCTGTCCCAAACCAAAATGAGGGTATTGCTTTGCTAGCTCATCACAATACAGAATGTCAGCAAATCAAGAATTTTTATTTTAAATGTTTTACATTTTGGCCCACTCTCTGGTGCAGTTCTCAGAACACCGCTAAATACAATTGACAGTATAACACACATCAAATCAAGTACATTGTTTTTTCATGTATGAAAGGAACACAAAAATCATGTGGCATACATGAGCAGCATTTGCTACTGCCTTTTGACACTGCAGCCTTTTATAAATCACACTTAATTTTGTAAAGAACAGTTAATTGTTTAAAAATATTTATTTTTAGCAGGAAAACATGATTCTTTGACAAGCCAATAAATAACAAGTGCACAGGAAGTCTCTGTAGATACCCAAACAGTTACACTGGCCAGGTGAAATACATTTCTCACCAAGAGAAGATTGCTTTACACACACACTCATGTTCATATGCTTCATGAAGCCCAACTCTTGGCACAGAAAGAAACTAGTTGTAAGGATGGGTAGATGTCTCAAAAAAGGTGTTGGAGAGCTTAATGTGAATAACATTATTTTTCAATAAAGTTTCTAAAACTTAACAGAATGGTTACTAGCAAATATTAAACAAACTTCAGTGTACATATTATATGAACAAACAGATGTTGACTTTCAAGATTTAGTGACAAATATTGACTGAAACATCTTTGTACTCATCAAAATCTCTCATTTTTATTAATGTAGGAAAGTACCCATCATGTAGCCTCTGCATACCTAACAATATTTAAAATGTATATACTTAACTTGATCATTGTCATCACTGAGACTCATTTACTATTACACTACATACCATAACACTACATACCATAATTACATGTCCAGCTCAGCTTATGGTTCCATGAATTCAAGCAAATAGTTGGGAAGCAAGTTGTAAAATTAAGGACCCCTAAACTAAAAATGCCCTGACAATTAATGTATGCTATTCAATAAAATATCCTTCACATTGTTGAATAAAATGTTTATTTTGACATTGATTAATTTCTTCCCACTGCCGGTCTTGCGAAGTACATTTGCTAGGCTCAGGCAAGTTTGATTTAAAACTTTGAATGATGAACATAGGCAATACATTGGTTCATCTTTATCAAAGAACTGTCCCTAAAGCCTAGTGGGGGTTCTCTAGCCAACTCCAAGCACAGCAGTGTTTTAGTGTTTAAGATGTCACCACTTATGGCATAGAGAGCCATTCACGTGCTTAGGACTTGGCATGTAAGTGAGAAAAAAGCTGAATTTCCAGTATTTCTTCTCCTCTTCCAAACCCAGTTATGAAATTCTAGTGACACACCTTGTGCCTTCTAGTTACATATTCAGACTAGTATTATCTAAATGAGTTTAAGTATCAGTATAAGTAGTTCTACAAACAGGGCTAGCAGAATCATGTGATTTAAAAAAAAATTGCATAAATGTAAATCTGTATCTATTCCACATGACGTTAAGTTGAAAGGGAGGCCAGTCATTTAAGCAGCTAAGATAGATCAGGCACCAAGTGAAGAGACACAGACATATCAGCACAACTTAATCCATTTCTTTGATAAAAGATTCAAATTGACAGCAGGCCGAGGAGGCACTCAGAACAAACGAATAGGAGTTGAATGTGTTTTGTTTATGAACCTGCAGCAGGTGGATCTATCTTCTTTCAGCAGAAGATTGAAGAGGCAGTCTGCAAGATGCGACTGTCTTTCTAAGCAAATCAGAAGCATGTTCTGTAGTAGAGATGTTGACCAAAAGGAGGTTATTGTTTGGGGCTGTTGATGGACCAAGGAGATGTATAGAATCAAGGAAAGGAAATATGGTTCTCTTGGAAAAGAATGATTAGTGGAAACTAACACCATTTGGAAGAGGAATAACTAACCTCCTTATAGGAAAATGTTAGATCTCTCACTGAATGGGCTTTCCAGAGAGATATAATTCCAGTTGAGGTTAGTGTTCATCATCCCCACTTCAGAATAGCTGGTCCAATAAGATCACTCCAGCAGATTCCAGTATAGTAAAAGGACAACAGCAAAAGCTGAAATCCCAGTGAGAGTCACCTGAAGTCCCTTCCACTGATGCACTAGTAGGAAGAAAAAAAAATGCATGAGTTCTAATATTTAGTAGTTCATGTAGACCAGTCAGAGAAGGCTAAGCTATAGTAGATAACAATCCTTAGAACTGAACCTGTACTGTCCTGTTTATATGTTCAATACTCTTACTGGGAGTGGTCATTGTCTTACCACTTCATTAAGCTATCAAAACAGCTATGGATAAGTGTTGATATTGAATAATGTGTTTGCACTAAGAGGTTTATGTGACGTTGCTTGGGTACTTCAGAGCAAGAAGCTGGGGATGTGGCAAGTCCAGGAGTCCAGG